GGGACTGTGTAACTGTTGAAGGGAGAAGTAACATGAGTATTGAATTCATAAGGAAACTTACCCTACGTTTGGTCTGGTATGACTAGTAGCTTATGCTGACTAATGTTCACTAATGTTAGACAGGTATTGCGGCTTAACTGAGGTTTCTGAGTAGGATTGCTGACTTTACAGCCCTTCTCTACTTGTGCTAGCATTACACTACATTTTAACATTTAACATCTGTCCTGTAATTACCACTCTTGTCCACAGTGCTTGCTGTACCACTGCAGGTTTGGCCCACAGTATACTACGTACTTGGATAATGTGAACGTGTATCTGGTCATCGCAGCAATCTAAAAGCAATTTAAAATTAAAAAAGCATTAGTTTAATTACTCTTTGTTGTATCTTTTGTTTTTAAATTCACTCATTTGTATTTCTAAATATTTTTGCTCACCTTCAGGCCCGTGAAGCCAACCATGTCGGAGACCGGATGGGGGCCGAGCGGAGCAGCAGGACTGCCAGGACACTGAACCATGTGGCCCTGGGACTCGGCATCGGGGGCGTCATCCTGTGCATTGTCTACGTAGTGGTTATGGCATCTCTGATAAAACATTAAAACTGTTTCAGCATCTTTCCATATTTGACATTCGATATCAGGTAATCAGCCCACATCAGGAACCTTACTGGTCATCTGGAGTTTCATTGTTTAATTGAAAATATGTAACCATAAAGTCACCTGATTGGCTAAAAGAAAAAAAGAAAGAAATTTTGATTTTGATTTCATTATCAACGGTAGATGACCTTTTATTTTAAAGCAACTGCAGAAGGGCTTTAATATAATCCATTACTCTCCAACCAATACAACCTACCAAAGATTTATATTTCATCAACATATATTGTGCTTATGACTTGCTTTCTATGTAATCACACAAAAATCAATGTTTTTTGTTTTATACATATAACTATTCAACTTTGATGCCTTAGAAGTTTTGCCTTGTTTCTGTGTTGCTCCACCACACAAGTATAATTCAAAGAGAATGTTGCATGTCATATTCAAATAGCAAATGATTATCAATACAGTTTGCAGGGTGTCATCTTTTAGTGGTGTTGGGTTTTGTTCAGTTCTGTAATTGAAAGAAATTTGTCTGTGCGATGGGCAAAATATTGCTGCCTTTTCAATGGCTGTAAATATGCACTAACACCCTAACCTATGTATGCTAACATAGTATTCCATATAAAAAGAACTAACCAGTGATACTTCAAAATACTCAGAGGAGAAAGAGAGAGATTTGGCTTTGTTTAGCTCATGTTGAACAAGTAAAAATAACAAGAGTGAGCCTGTTTCTCATCACAGTGTGTCTGATCTGAGAGTGCATGCTACAAGGAGATCCTTCTGTTTCAGTGATTTTCACATCAAAGTCCTCTTCTGTATTCCAGCTAAACAGGAATGCACAGCTTCACGCAAAATAAGCAGAAACTTAGTCAGAGTGGAGCCAGTATGACTGACACAGCCAGTTGCTCGATCAGTGGCTCTCGCACTCCTATTCTGAAAGCTGTAGTGTTACGTGTCACTGGTCTGGGTGTTGTTTGTCATGCAATTTTTTTATGTTCTTTTCTTAAAGCTGAAAAAGTAAGATTTTACTGTATACCAGATTTCTTTTTAAATAAAGTTGGAGTATATTGAGAGAAAAACCACTTGTGCTGTCTGGTCTATTCAGATTATTTTTTATCTGGCCAGTGCTAGAACCTAACATGGTTTGTTGCAACACAAAAATGCCAAGAACACCTGTCTTGCAGCTTCAAAGCTGAGAGTGGAACAACAGTATTGAACTGATAGTTTCAACCACGACCACCATGGGTTGGTTTTCGAGCAGTGCACATATTGCCGTCTCAAGTTGTAATCAAATGCTTGTGTATAAAAATGACATATTTAAGTGGTAAAACACACTTCCAAAGGTAAGTTTCACCTCTGTAGCCAGTGTTTTTCAAATTAAAAGGGAGAGGAAATGACTAGATGCCAGTTTCAGATTGACTGCTGCTCTTTTTGCCCACTCACCTCCTACATCTGCAGTCCCATCTCCACTCTCCCCAACTTACCTTCTACCTTGTCTTTATCTGTCTGTTAGATCCATTTCTTTATTACCCGACTATTGTCCGAGTTGGTTTCACAGAAAGCTAAACTGTAAATGAGGCAGGAAATTCATCAACTTTGGTGTATGATGTATAGAATAGGCCTTTTTCACAGCAGCCATTTTGACATGAAATAGTCGAGTGATAGTAGGGTAGGTGACACTAATTCAGGTTCTATTCCATTCAGGTCAAACAGAGTCAGGGTGCTGCTATTGTGTATGTTTGCTCGCTGGAAAGGCTCTGCTACACTAAATGGAACAGAACCTTAATTAGTTTTACACTTGTGATTACCCTACTATTTAATGTCACTGGCTGCTGTGAAAAAGGTCTATTCTGAGGAAAAACCACAAGACCTGCAGGTATATAATAATAATAATAATAATTTTATTTATAAAGAACTTTTCGAGCTCAAGCACAAAGTCCTTCCCAGATTCAAATATATACAGAACAAACATTAAGAAAACCATATGTAAACATACAAAATTAAGAACAAGATAAAGGCGCAAAAAAAAGTAAACTGATGATACTACAAGCACAATTAAAATAGATTATGGCAGAATGTCAGTGATAACATAAAATAATGGAAAGATAAAACCTTGTTAAGTACAGGCCATTTTGTAAGTATTCAGGAGGCACCTTTGGTTTTCTATCTGCTCGGTGGAACAGCATAAAGGTTTTGATCAGCTGATCTTAGAGGCCTGGCTGGGTTGTAAGGGGTTAAACATTCATGATAGAGTCTGGAGCCAGACCATGGATAGCCTTGTAGGTAATTAATAACATGGGCTTAAAGGGCAACCAGCACAGTGATTCTAAAATTGGTGAGTGATATGAGAGGACCTGGCTGCTGAGTTCTGGATTAAATGTAATTGTGAGACTGAGTGGGATGTTAAAAGAGTTACTGTAAGCCAAGATGATGATATAAAAGCATGTATGACTTTATCTCTGTCATTAAATTGAGCATGTGTCTTAATATTATATTAGAAAGATTAAGCTATTTTATTCGTGTGTGTGCAGAAAAAGAAAGCACTTGGCTGATGGTGACAGAAAAATTACAATAATAGTTTCTTTCAAGGTATCTACACATCTTAACAAGTATTGCATTTAGTTTCCCCAAGAAAAAGCCATAGAAGATATTAAAAAGGCTTAAATTTACTTTACAAAGGTCGCACTGTAAATATTTTGTCCCGCCTGCTGTAGGAAGTAATGTTAGTTATGAAATGTTTTTGTACCCACTTGCGGGCTGTCAGAAGACAAAATGTGGGATTGTTGCGACAGTGGATTGTGCTGCAGGAGGCTGTTCAGTCCTTTTTTTGTGCAGTTTCAGTCAGCACTGTCAAACCTCTAGCAAACACTGTCAAAACTGAAGCACAGTGTCTCATAATGGCTCATAAAGTCATAATTATCATTTTTCTCCTGATAATTTGATTAATTGTAATTTAGGAATTATTGCCATAAATTATTGCCATAAATTGTTGGGCAGTACTGAAAAAAATATCATGTGATAATAAATAATTATAGCCCTTACCATGGTATAACAGGTATAACCATGTTCAGTCAACATGAAAGTAAAAGTACCCTCTTGTTTGAAGTTAAAGTTTCTCACATTGTGTCAGAGAAAGAACTGTCACCCCCTCAGTACGTCAGTAGAACCACAGCTTTGGATTAGCCAAAAGCTGTTGAGCACTGTCCCACATTTGAGAGTCATTAGGAATTACTGTTAGTGTTCCAAGGCTGTTACGGTAAATGTTTGCTCTTGCTCTCCTGCTCTCTCCCCACCCTCCCCTTCACGTCCTCATTTTACTGCTCTCCCACTTCAGTCACACTCGTCTCCTATTCCTTGCCTATCACTCTGCTCATTCCTCCCCCACATATCCCAATTCTTTATACTTAACCATTGCTCCTCCTTCCTTTGGCCCTTCCTTATCTTATCACCTGTCATCAGTTGCAAAGCTCTTACTCCACTGTCACCCACTCTGTCCTTGCCATTTGCCTCATATCTCCTCTTCTTCTCCTTTTGCCCCACAACATCTTCTTTTTTTTCTCTCGTTTTTGTCATTTCAAACTTGCCTTTCTACTGTGGGCATCTCTCCTCGAGGAATTCCCCTTACAAAGCCTGACATGTAAGGTGATCACTGACACATACTGGGGACGTCTTTATTGTCTCCTTTGGAAATAAAGATACTGGAATAATAACTTTTTTTAAATCTACCTTTTTCTCCCACTGTCCACCTCTCTAACCATGATGAAATCTTTTTGTTTGTGGCCAGAAATTAACATTGAACATTTGACTGCTCCAACACGCTTAATATTCTCCTTAAAATTCAAACTGGATTGATTTATAAACATGATGAATCAATGCAACTGAGTTGTCCTTATATATGGATTATATATTTTCAGTGGATCATGGGTGTATCACAACTAGGAACACAAGTTGTGTTTATATAGCTGGGACAAGCATTGCAAATTAGCTTAGGCTGTAAATGGACAGGATTTTTCCTCTTCTTTTTCAAGTGCTTCAGAGAACTTGCAGCTGTTTGTGATAAATATCTTCTGCAGGGCCAGATCATCTGCCCTGGAAGCCATTAATAATCGCCAATATCTGTCATTTAAGTTAAATTGATCCACAACAGGCTTAATTGAGCATGCACGAGACCCTGCCTCTGTTGATGTGAACTGCTTTACAAAGAAGAAGGTGCTGCGATTGCACAGGTTCAACACTTTGGGAGCTGCAGAAATTTACTGCAACCCATCTACCTTTTAACTAGGCCATCGACATTCTGGAAAAAATGTGTTGCTTCCTTAAAACCACTTTCTTGAGTCATGTGGTTGCTGTACTGCATGTCGTGAGACGAGCAAATCTGAAAGAACCACACTATAACACTGAACCTTCACACCATGCCTCCCAGAGAGATTTGGTCAAATATGCAGGGTCTCGACATAACAATGTGCTGTTTATGATTCTCAAGTAGACAGGAATGTGTATTTACGTTAATGAATACATGGCACATATTTTATATAAAACCAACATCAATTGGTGCCAGTCTTCTCTGTCCTACAACTCCTTGACTATGTAGCCCTACAGAAGTGGATTTTTCCGGTGTCTCATTGTGCCCTGAGCACACAGCCATAGTGTTAATCACAGTCCCTGGTTATCAGCCTACCTCTTGTACAGTCCTGAACAACAATATTATACAATTACTTAAGAATACCTGATGCAAAATGCATACTTTTAAATAAAAGAGTTACAGTGCAAAAAGTCTCATTGGGTTAGATTACATGAGAAACATCATAGGAGCTTCTGAGATGTTTCCCATTAAACTATGTTGTTCCCAAACACTTAACTCATCCTGTCTAACCATGCACGAGGTGCTAACACCCATTAAAAATGTTCTTATCTGTTCCTTACCTTTGCTGAGGTGAACCTCAATGTCACATGGCACTGACTTCAATAATGTGAGCCAATAATAAATATTTGCTCAGTTTTTATTTAGGGATTACCTCACTCTGATCACATGCTGATCATGTTTCAGAAATCCTCCCCAACATACATAGTAGCTAAAAGCTGGTTCAACAAAGGGAGTGGCATTAAGGTAAAAACCAGTATTTCCTTTCTGTTCCCATAACAATCCTTTCATTTGTGCCAATAGTAAGGGTGCCAGCTTCCTCCATGCCTTTCAGCTCTGTCCTTTCTGGATTTGAAACGCTCTCCAGTTGCTTAAGTGTTTGTTAGGTAAATGTTGACTTCCTCTGCAGAATTTCCAGTACAGCTGTTTACAGCAAAGCTATTGTTGAAGAACTGCACCACCCACCATAATGCCATCCTTTGTCATGTTAAATTTTAACAGCCTGTGAGCAGCCACAGAGGAAACATTAACGTCCTGTTTAAAGTCAACATTTTAAACTGCCTCTGGTTCAACAATATGCTTCTGCTGCCCCCTGGTGGCTATAAGCAGGAATAGGATTCAATAAAAAGCTGCCTGTCAGGGTGCCACCCTGGTTCGCCTGGTGGAGCTGACACGTGTCAGGGCCGAAGCTGCAGGTCGTTAACTGAAATAGTTTCAACAAAACTCATCATTGTATCACATGTACATGATTTAGTGTAGGGCTCTATATGCCCGTGCCCCTCCCCTCTCCTGCCCATTAGATGAAGCCAAACCAAGAGATTTTGTTTCTATGCATAGTCTACACTTTATTAAACATATGAAGTAAAAATGGCAAAACCAGAAGAAAATTAACTCACTTTAAAACAGGCAAATAAATTAAACAATGATTCAGTCCCAGAAACACGCCACGTGAGTTTGTTCAATACTTCGTTACTCAGTTTTTCTGGAGTCGCAGAAAATGTTCCAGTCAGTGGGGATTTCGCATCAATTCTACATCAGACACTGCTTTGTTTTACTGGGACCCACTCTTGTCAGCTGCTCTTGAAGCACTTAAAGCTGGCATTGATGTTCAGAATAATTCCTAACTTCTGGAAAAGCACTCAACAACCTAAAAAGCCCAATTACTCTAACAGCTCTTTTTTTTTTTTTTTCAGAGAAAGCGACAGCAAAACGAAGCCATTGTTCCAACAGATGTTACACCATAATGTGGTTAAATAGATACAGTACAAGCATCCAGCTGCTTCATTTGGATACAATTTATAGCCTATAGATCAGCTGATTATCTATTGAACATGAGCTTGATGAAGATGCACTTTATAATTTGGACCACACGCATGAAGCATCACAAGAAGTAAATACTCTCCAAGACTGAAGGCCATAGTGAGTGAGAAAACCTACCTCAGACTTCAACAAGTACAAACAGTATAACTCGGCAGGTTTATTGTACATTTATGCAATATTTACAAACTTAAAACTTCCCTCTTCGCATGTCCATTTCAAGTTACAATCATTACCAAAATCCCCTCACTTCAAAAAGGCCAAAGGAGAGAAGGTATAATTGAAGATTTTAATTCAATGAAAGACAAAGCAACAAGAGTACGGTGTCATTACAGAAGGCCAAGCTTAAGTCCTGCAACATGTTAACTGTTCTCTCTTTTTTGTCCTTCAGCTTGAAGCTGAAAATTCCAGCCCACTTGTCTCGAGTGCCTTATGATATATATACAAGACCAGCTCACGCACAATGAGAGGTCGCAAGAACCATATTGAAATCGATGTGCTGCAAATAGATTAAATCAAGGCAGAACACACATGAAGTTTAAAGACATGACAGTTTTGTATTTAACTGTTCTAAATGGATACTCATGTGCAACACCAAGCATATTTTGTCCCAAAATGCCATCTCTATTACAGGAAAGGTATCTCCATAAATAGTAAATGAATGAGTGAATTGGATGTGAGAGAGGGAGGGAGAGGGAATAGGAGAGAGGGAGGAAAGAAGAGGAGTGATCTTCTTAGTAGGAGCGGATGGCAGGAGGGACACGGGCACAGTCCTGCTCATCCAGCGAGTGGTCAATAACAGGACGGTACTCCAGGGTAACCTGTAATTACAAAGTTAAGTTAAATCACATAGTTCTGACTCTACTGGCCTTTAAAGTTAATAACAGTTACTAAAGCCACCTAATAAAATCTAATAACACACACTGAAGGACACCATACCTTTCCAGTCTTAGGGTCAACGTAGGACATAGTGTGTTTCCTCCAGTGCTGATCGAAGGGTTTCTTCTCTTGACCCTGCAGGGGCTTCGAGTAGTCAAACTCATCCACACGGTCCTGGATTACAGTCAACAAAGACAATGTCAGAGGAGAGTCGGAGTTGTACTTGCTTATTAAGGCAGAAAGAATAAGAAATACAAAGAACAAATTAAGAATGGGAAATAAAAAGTTGTGGGAGCAAACTGTGGGAGATTGATGTAAAATGACCTACGGTAAGCAGAGAATAACAGAAAAAAACACTTGACAGAACGATGGATAGACAGAGCAGAGGGAAACACTTCAAGGACGAAGGATCAGAAAGAACAGACACACAGATAAAGAATGGTAAAAGTGACCTTGAAGTCCTCTCTGGCGTGGGCTCCCCTGCTCTCCTTTCTCTGCTCAGCAGAGTGGATGGTCTGGACAGCGTTCAGCATCAGATTCTGCAGCTCCAATGTTTCAACCAGGTCTGTGTTCCACACAATGCCTGGAGGACAGGAGAGGAAGGATAAAGAGGAGACCTATTATACTACTTGTGTTGCAGTATTATGGCACCTTTCTGCACAAGGAAGAGGAAGGCTCTGTAAACGTGCACACAAAGTGGTGCAGTACCTCTGTCAAAGGTCTTGAGGTCGTCCATGGTCTGGTAAATGGCGTCCATCTTGTCGCATCCCTCCTTTAGAACAGAGCCGGTACGGAACACTGCAGCATGGGCCTGCATGGTCTGTAAGGAAAGGGAGGAAGAGATCAGTGATTAATGTTTGTCTAGTAAGTTTATGTGACAGCGGCAGAATACGGCTTACTGCCGCATAGCATCTAATGTACAGTGACGGAATATGTGCGTTTGTGATGTTCAATTACCTTTACCTGCACTTCTTACAAACATATCCAAATCATTTTTCTAATGCACAAGGTTGCAGGTCTCAACAAGTGTGTGCATATTTGAGTGCGTACCTTTTGCATGTTGAGCCTGACCTCAGAGGTTCTCAGGCTTCCGTTGGCAAACCTCAGCTTGTCCAGGTTGGCCACAGACTCCTCTCCAGCAGTCGGCTTCAGAGGGGACAGTTTCTCTCCTGAAGACAAAACAGAACACCAGAATCAGCAAGCAGGCAATGTGTACGGTCAGGCATTATCCTGCCTGTAGAGCAGGGGTCTCAAACTGCTGGCCCTCCCTCCCTGCAACATATAATAATATAATATATAATAATCTAGCCCAAAATATAGATTTTTTCTAGTTGTTTCATATCAATTTAAAAAGAGCAGGTTTCAAACTTTAACTTGTTGTTTGACTGCAAAGAACAAACAGAATAAAAGGATGATATAAAATGTAAAGAAACTGCTGTTTGCATACTTTATAGAATGTTAGTAATGGTAATATTTTCAGAATATTGCACTTTCTTGTAGTATTTTGAACACTAAAGTGGCCCTCCTATGAGGTGACAATGCTGACAGTGGCCCCAAGACAATATGAGTTTGAGTCTCCTGCTGTGGAGCATACCAATATTGACTAAGTTGGGGTATTATTTGATATCAAAACAGAAGATGAATTCATGTTTCACAAACACATCATCATGCACAAGTTTTAAAAACTAAAAGCAGAAACTCTGTATTCTAATAAAACTACAGAACAGTGGCCCTCACCAGGTTTGTGCTCCTCGGCGATGGTGAGGGCGCAGGCTCTCCCGAACACCACCAGGTCGAGCAGGGAGTTGGCACCCAGCCGGTTAGCACCGTGGACACTGGCACATGCTGCCTCACCGCAGGCATACAGTCCAGGAACCACCTTGTCAGCTCCATCGGTATGAGTGATCGCCTGATGGGAAAATGTTAAAAAAAGGTGTGTCACTTTGATTGGGGGATGCTCACAGGGAAGTATCTAGAAGAGAGTGAGGTGGAAGTGTGTGTGGATGCATACGGCCGTGCACATACTACCTACCTGTCCCTTGTAGTTTGTGGGTATTCCACCCATATTGTAATGAACGGTGGGGAGGACGGGAATGGGCTCTTTAGTGACGTCGACTCCAGCAAAGATCATGGCTGTCTCCGAGATACCAGGCAGCCTTGTGGCCAGCTGCTGGGGAGGCAGGTGGTGAAGCTGCAGGTACACGTGGTCCTTTTCTGGACCAACACCCCTGAACGAATAAACAAGGAAATTAAAATAAGCAACGGCAGAAGGTTACTCAGTTGTTTCGAGACAGAAAACCTCAAACTAAAGTGGTATATTATTTATAAATGTGGTTATTGACATTTTACAGTGACATCACACACATATCTTCCATACCTGCCCTCTCTGATCTCTATGGTCATGGATCGGGACACCACGTCTCTGGAGGCCAGGTCTTTGGCATTGGGTGCGTAGCGCTCCATAAAGCGCTCTCCCTCGCTGTTGATCAGGATTCCTCCCTCACCACGGCAACCCTCTGTGATCAGACAACCAGCTCCGTAGATCCCTGTTAAGATTCACGTTAAATTAATATCTTAAACGTTCTCTGTAGGCATGCCCCCTTCAGAAGCCCCAAAAAACCCCTCACTCTTCACAATCTCTAGCAATCATTCACAACGATAGGGGAACCAAAACTAATACAGAAAGATCCAAGTTAATTTTAGTGAGCAAACTCTTGGTTGTTTATTTTAAATGTATCATAAATAATATTTATTTAACTAAATTCCACTCCATATTTTCCTCTGGTCATCCATGCCCCACCTCCAGTTGCCCAATGCTCCACAGTTTGAGAACTGGGTTAAAAAGAGAGTCGCACTGTGGATGCAGTTCACTTATTATTTATGAATACAAACATTGGAAACACTGACACCAAACAGATGTGTTGTAGAAAGCTAACTTTGATCTTAATCTCGGAGTAGTCTGTTTTTGTGGGGTACATCGGGTTACCATGGAAACTAAGACATCTAACCTGCTCTGAAACAAGGCTTTATCCAGGCTACTGGATCCATTCATTGACCAATTAATAAGACAAGAACAAGAATGGTTGTATAGTAAACTATTAAATAGCATATGAACATGAAATCCTCAAAGCTCTGTTGTTATGACACAATACTGCCTCAATAAAAACTACAATAGAGTACTTTATTGCCCCAGCAGTGATAAGTCTGTTCACTATGGAATTTAAACTGTAAATTTACTCCTTTACTCCAATTTTCTGATCCTCTGAAAATGGTGTTACTTTGTACCCTCAAACTGTTTTCAGTGCTCACATTCATTCAATGTATTAGTTAGAAAAAGGAATACAAACATTAGTAATCCATATAAAACTCTACCCATCAGCCTTGTTGAGCTACTGTTTATATTATTCTATTATGTTCCACAATAAAAAAATATACTAATATAATATATTTCAGTTTTGCGCTCTCATTGGCCAGTGACAAAATTGTTTTGCGGACTAATGAGAAAGTCTTCACAGTCAAAGGCTTTTAAATATATATCTCTCAAAGGTATGCTGCATTTCCATTACTAGACACTTGCATCATATCTAAAAGGGTGAGAAAAATCTGCACTGTAACTCAATGAACACTGGCTCGTGCCTTGGGTGACCACAGGCCACACTGAGCTACTTCATACATAACTGAGTCCGGTGTCAAATGTCCGGTAGGAACAAAAATAAAGATGTCTTTATGTAAGTGAGGTCTATTATTGGAGCGCATTGTAAACAACTAGACCCAAACAGACGTTAAAAATCCTGGCCTTCAGATGTATAAATCTGAGTGACTGTGCAAACAGAGATACAGAATTAAGGAATGTCATTAACCACTAGACATAAGGACAAACAGACTCTGAATGAAACACAGTTCACACTATTTATACAGTGTCTTATCACACATTTACAGCTAGACAATAAAATACTGAACTCTGAACCGTCATTGATAGAATGCCTTTACTAGTTCAATTTAGTATGAGTAATCTAGATGGGTCTTTTAAGTATGAATGTACCTACAGTGGAGCTTTCCAGCTACTGACTTTCATAGTAGAATTCTGCTTTACCCTGCTGCTGCTACACGTCACAAATATTTTATGACTTGGGTTTATTAAGTTAATATGGTTCTTTCTCTCACCAGTGGGATGGAATTGTACAAACTCCAGATCCTGGCAGGGCAGGCCAGCTCTGGTCACCATTGCATTTCCATCTCCAGTACTAGTGTGGGCAGATGTGCAGCTGAAAAAGGTTCTTCCATAACCCCTGGACAGAAAGATATAACTCATTTATAAACTTTTATTTACACATGCACAGCTGGAGAAATGTTTGTCTCATATCAGCTCTCAGATTAAGTATTTATTTTTTAACAGTGAGAGTAGCCTACCCGGTGGCAATGACAGTATTCTGGGCTCTGAAGCGGTGAATAGATCCGTCCTCCATGCAGAGAGCAATCACTCCTTTACACTCTCCATTTTCCATCAGCAGGTCCAAGGCAAAGTACTCCACAAAGTAACTGGTGTCATAACGAAGCGACTGAACAGAAGATGGGGGGCAGACAGATGCATGGTTACATGAGTTCAAATGGCACTCCAGATTAAAACTGGTTTCTTGATGTGTGGACTGAGCTGCAGAGAAGATGGATAACAGGTGCATGGGCTCACCCTTCCATAAAGTGTATGCAGTAGCGAGTGTCCTGTCCTGTCTGCTACACAGCAGCAGCGGTGAGCCTGGCCTCCTTTTCCATACTTGAGACTTTGACCTCCAAAGGCTCTCTGGTAGATCTTCCCATCTTCAGTGCGGCTGAACGGCATGCCAAAGTTCTCCAGCTGGGAAAGTGGCACAGCAACATGAGGTCAAGAAAATTAATAATTAATCAATAAATAAACTGTTTTTTTCCCCTAAATTGTATCTCGCATATTCTAACTGAATGACTTTCATTCCCTAAAGTTTCTCTTTTAGTGCCAAAAAGCCAGGAACTGTAAGCTAACATAACTTCTTATGTGCATGTGTGTGAGACCTTACCTCCACTACAGCTGCAGGAGCCTGCTCTGTCATGTAGTGGATAGCATCCTGGTCTCCCAGCCAATCAGATCCCTTCACTGTGTCATAGAAATGCCACCTCCAGTCATCCTCCTCCATGTTCCCCAAGGCTGCATTGATCCCACCCTGTGAACCAGCTAATAGTCATCAATCCAACAAAATTACAGAGAATACAGTCAATTATATTTATAAGGAGCTTCCTTCTGCATAACAAATCAGTATTGAGTTAGTTAAACCCCAGTCTAATGAACACAGGAGGATTTCAGCCTGATGACACTGTGTAGAAAATCATACAAAAACAATGTATATCCTCAACCAACGTATACAGTGTGTTGTTATACCTGTGCAGCAACGGTGTGAGACCTGGTGGGGAAGAGCTTGGTGATGCAGGCAGTGTTGAAGCCAGCCTCTGACAGGCCAAAGGCTGCCCTAAGTCCTGCTCCTCCAGCTCCTACCACCACAGCATCAAACTCGTGATCCACCACTGGGTACTGAGTGGAGATCTGAAAACATTGAAGGAGAGACGTTTCGGTGAAACCTCCAATAAAGAGCAGCTTGCACAAAGTGGAAACTTAATCCCTCACTATAGGTCAGTGAGTGCCAGTGAGCATGCATAGCACAACACCGGTTTGAAGCCATTATTGTATAGATCATAGGTTTGTTAGACTCATTTTTCTACCCATGTAGAGTACTACATCATATCATGCAACCACACTAATAACCATATCAAATGCTGATATACACAGAACAGCAAATGTAACTTACATCATTTGATACTTGGGCGTTTTTCTTCTTGCCATAGATGGAGAAATGAAAGTTCCTGGAGCCGTGAACTGCAGCAGCAGGGACCTTGCAGGGAAAAAAAATCCCAATTTATATCAGTGGAGAAATCAAAGAAAAGCAGCAAATGTGGAACAACATAAACCATACTGATGGCTGCTAATGCTAATATACTAATAAACACGCACTGCTATGTTTATGCACATATTGAAGGCAGATTTAAAAGTATATTCTTAATAACACTTAATCATAACAGTCCACAATAAAGTATTAATATGCGTTATCATTCATTACTGTGCACATTTTTAAACACATTTTAATCTGGAGATGGTTTTTACTTTAAATCAGAATGATGCCTTTAGTTTAAAGTTGCCATTAAAGGTATTTGCATTGTATCCTACCTAACATGTTGCTAGCTAACATACAGTAGCTACAACTGTTTGCCACAAGGGCAACAACTGAGGTAACGCTGACTGATATTAACACAGCGGAATACGTTGACAAGTTACTGAAAACATTACGCTATCTATAACTTGAAACACATAGAGACAATATTAATCTATATAACATTTCATAGGACTCGCAAACACTCTTTTCTTCATGGTGTCACATTGAAACACCCTGAGCTACATAACACATCTTACGCAAGTCAGAGTCTGCTGGTTACGAAAGCTGAAAAGGCTGCAAAAGTCTTCCTTTTAGAGTTAAAAAAGACAACAGGCACACATACAGATATGTGACCGATTTAATATCTAGTTGTTACTACTCACTGCTTTGGTTTTCGACAGTATCCTCTTGGAGAGGAGACGGGACGCAGCACGGACACTCGCCATGTTTTCAATTGAAGGACCGTTTCTGAGGCACGGCGGATGTGCAGATATGCTGCATGTAGGACCATACCACTCTCCGAAAACGGGGGTATCACGTATGTTACACCTAATACTTTCCTGTAAAAACACATATTGACAAGTTTTGAATAACAAATAATGTTTTATTGGCTGTAGTAAATCCAAATAAATAAACACAGGCTTTAACTTTTAACACCTATTGCGACTTTCACATGAGTGTGTTTTCATGAATTACCCTCGGTGTAGATTGACCGCTAATGCATAAAGGTTGTGTAAGCTGGCTGGCAGGAACAAATGTATAAGTGACCTAGACTTTTCTTTCAAGGTGAGCCACAGCACCATTCATTTCATAGACATACACGGACTTGTTGTTGGACTTACAAAGCTGCTATGCCTCATGTTATGTTTGCATGAAATACTCTAGCGAGCATGAGCCAGCAGGCTAAACGTTAGCTAGCACGTTAGCTCACAGCTAGCCTTGTTTGTGGTTAGCTGGACTGTCAAACTTGTAAATCATGTGAGACTGGTACTGCTGCTGCTGCCCGTCGCAGTTCTGTCACATCCAGCTCTTATTTGCAACACCGTATTTTAAGCTGAAAGCAACGTCCTTGTAGTAAAATACAAAATATAGACATGTGGAATGAACTTTATTGTTTACAACTGAGCCACTTTCTCGATGGTTCAAACTGCTGCAGTATCACTGTGTGCTGCTACGTCTGAACATTTAGAGGACTCATTTTGGGAGTGCGGTGTTTTGGTTTGCCGTGTGTGTATGTGACAGCAGCCTCCATGAACAACCTGAATGACCCCCCCAGATGGAACATCCAACCAGACCCCAGAGGAAGGGGGGCGGGGGCCGGTGATGGGAACCAGTGGAACTACGCCCTGCTGGTCCCCATGCTGGGACTGGCTGCATTTCGTAAGTTACACAAGGAGATGTGTCTGAGGATGAGGTAACAGACAGGAGAAACATAGGGGTTGTTGAATTTGTCATATTAGTAGTGGGAAGTGTAAACTCTTGTATAAAAGTACAGTGTGTGTGTGTGTATGTGGTGTGTATGTGTGGTGTGTATAGTATATTATATATATATGGTGTTATATGGTGGTTATATATTTATGTTTTATTTTTTAATATTATTATATGTGTGTTTTTTGTATTTTTTTATTTTTATGTGTTTTTGTGTTGTGTTGTGTTTGTTGTGTTGTTGTGTATATTATGTGGTAATGGATGGGATGGTGGTGGGGTGTGGTAATTTTTGTGTGGTGATGTTATGGTTTTTGTATGTGTATTGGTTTGTTGTGGTTTTTTTTGTGTTTTTGTGGTTGTGTTTGTGTGTTGGTGGGTGGGTTGTGGTGGTTTTTTGTTTTTGTTTTTGTTGTGGTATGATATATGTATTGTATTTTTTTTGTGTTGTAATTATGTTTATTTGGGTGATGTTTGTTGTTTTTATTATATGTTTATTGTTGTATATTTTTTTATGTGTGATTTTGTTATGTGTGTTGGTTTGTGTGTATGTGTGTGTGTGTGTATAGGTGTTGTGGTGTGGGTTTGTATGTGTTTGTTTGTTGTGTGTGTGTTGGTGTATATATGTATATATATGTATGTATATATTATATATAAACTATTAGATATATTTATATTGTTTATATATGTATATAATGATGTGTATACTATTATATATAGTATACATATAGTATTATATATACACATACATACATAATATATAGTATATCACATACATACATTATATATATATAATATTTTTTTTTATTGTTTTTTTTTTTTTTTTTTTTTTTTTTTTTTTTTTATATTGATGTATTTTTTTATATTTGTTATTTTTGTTATATTATCTTATTGTGTTGTATGTGTTATATTTTTTTGTGTTGTATTGTGGGGGTTGTGGATGTATGTGGCTTAGGGTTTTTTTATATGGTTGTATTGTTTGTTTTGTGTTTGTTTGTTTTGTTGTGATGTGTATATTTTGTTAATGGTTGTGTGTGGTGTGTGTGTGGTGATAGTTTTGTAGGGGGGGGTGGAAAGTGGTGGGTGTAATAGTATATTACTTCTGATTCACTCAGTTGATACCGTATACTCCAGTAAGTTTTATATAGGGTACTAGGTATATATAGCGGATAGGGTACCGGGCCTGTTTGTTTTTATTAATTAGTGGTTTGTTTTTTTTTTTTATTATTATGGTGGGTATATTCTTTTATCTATAGTGTTCATTTTTTTTTTTTTTTTCAAGTTTTTCTTCTTTTGAGGGTCACCTCTTATAGTCATTAGACTGTTATGTATTATTTATTTTGTGTTCGGCGTTGGCTGAAGCTGAAGGAATATAAGGGAACCAGCTTAATAATGGCTAAGTGTTTGATGCTTCGAGGCCCATTATAATATCTGCTCCGGGTCTCCTTGTCGCTTCACTGGTGTTTCTAAAGTGATTGGTTCAGAATGATGACCGGGATTTCTAAGGTTACCACACCACGCTGACCGCTCGCTAATGTCACTGGTTGTAGGCGATAGTTGTGACTATAACTGTCATTACATGCGGTTAGTAGGTGGATACGAATACATTTGTAGCACGGTGGACGAAACTTTTATTTACAAAATCAATGTCAGGACTGAGGGATACTGGTTAACAAGGACATGAGCTCTCATAGCTGAGTTATGGTCGAGAGCGGTAATTGAGCTATTGGGGATGGCTTAGTACAGGAGCCGGCTTGGGCTGGGGCGAATTTACCGCACCATATAGAAAACTGCAGCAGCCTAGAGTTATTACTAACGTTATAGCGAATCATTAGAGAATAATTACAGACGAGTCCTATAAGTCCGGACACTCATTTTTTGTCCCTTACAATTGTTTTTTGAGGAAATAATTAAATGAGAACAAAAAAAGGTTACCAGCTTTACTTATCACTTAGACACGCTCTACTTTTTAGTGTTAGTAAGATTATATACTTATTGATTCGAATTATAAAAGCTATGTGTACAAATATATAAGTTATAATTTTTAATTGGTTTAACATTTTCATGTCCTATGAACCCATCATATTACACATGGCTTATATTCATATTATTTATTACATTAATATCCAAACATGAACCATGGTGATTCGCGCAACAACACCGCTGCATGTGGCAGTTTTATAGCTTACTCACCAGGCTGTTCATTAATCAAACTTGATCATAGCGACTGTAGAATAACATTATAAGCTGTTTAAGTTCTAAAAGTATTCTGTAGGGTTATGGGTTGGAACTGAAAATTCTGGAAAATGCCGAAGCGATAGACGCTTATACTAAGACAATGGACTAAGAAGTAACACGGGGTTTGTGGACAAGAGGTAGTAGGAAGTAGATGGAGTCCCTCATTTTTCTTTCGTACATATGTGCGGCATAGACGACATCGCCACTCGCTCGCGCGGCGCGCCTTTTAATGTCAACCGACATTTGCTCGCACTGCCAAGCATTTGACTAACAATCAGTTTAGTGCGCAGCATAGGTGATTGCCTCTTACTTTTCATTCATGTTCATTTATTTCATTACGTCATTGATATAGATTTATTCACCTCAGGGTCGATTACAAATATACGCTGCTGCTTCTCAGAACTATTACTCTACCATGTGTTGTTTATGTGTAAAACTCAAAAAAGAATTTTTATAGTCAGATGAGTATTTGAATAATTGTTTAAATAATTGTAGTAGCTCTAGATATAGTGATACTATATGAACAATTATTGCTCTGCTAATTAGCCAATAATGGTTTGGTAACAGAACGAGGTGATAATGAGCTCCATGTCTGGTTTAAGTTTGTGATGTATAAGGTTATCAAAGAAGTAAATAACGCTCCAGTCATGACATGTCTTACATCTCAATCTTTTCACCTTTTCCTCTTATCCCCTCTCTTAAAAAACATTAACAAATTGCTGATCTATAAAACTGACAAGCCCATCTTGGATACGGAAGGAAGTTTACATTGTATGTGGCGTTTTTTCAAAACACAACACATTTAGTGCGTACAAAGCTCGAAGGCGCAGCCAGCAGCTTGGA